GAAGGGCCTTTCAGAGTCCAAACTGAAATCCTTTCATCACTGAACCTCCCATGATCCACTCGAACGAGTGCGAGGAAAAAGGATGGAGTCCGCTCGCTGTGATGCTTATTTCTTGTTTCAGTTGAGTGTGCGCTTTCGCTGTATGTTTTAAATAGGCATGCGTAATGACGCCTAACTGTTTATCATAGTGACACGCGCGGTAGAAGGTGAGTAAAAATGCGGTAGGGAGTTGCAGGATTTAAGATCTTTATAGGAGAAGAGCTGGTTTCGGCTGCTCAGAAGGAAGTTGATCTTGGTTTCTTGGAAGGGCCCTTCACAGAGACCCAGTTAGATAACTTCTACGGGCATCAACGCTGGCTGAACCCGAGGTTCGCTTTGCGCCAAGGCATCAACAAAATTAGAGTGATCGATGACGCTAAGGTCAGCTAGCTCCTTGAACACTGGCTACTCGTCGACCTTCAAGCTGCAGTTGCAAGACAAGGATTACATAGCGGCAATGATCCGTGCAGCCATGCTTGAGCGGCAACGCCACGGAATTGCTGACACCTGGTTCGGCCGGACTCTAGACCTCAGCAAAGCCTATAAGCAGTTGGCAATCATGCCAGAGCATGCGCACCTGGCAGTGGTTGGTTTCCCGGTTGGAGGCCAGTGGCGATTCTATAAGTCCGTTGCTCTTCCTTTTGGTGCTACTGGGAGCGCGTACGGATTTGTTCGAGTCTCGCAAGCGCTGTGGTGCATTGGAATTTCGACACCCTTGCATTGCGATCCTGAGCTGGTGCGGGCAGTCAAGGAGGCCACCCGGTCTCCTTTTACTGTCCCTCCTTCTGCGGGGGTATAACTCCGAGGGTCAGTAAAAGGGCATGCTCAGATCATAAAATCGGCATCCCTTCACTAAGCCCAATCGGAAACGCTGAATGCACACGAAGTGTGAACATTCCCCTGACTCAATCGCAAATAATGCAAGGGCAAAAAGAATATTAAATATAAATCTTCTTGCGGCCTGAGGCCTCGAGTGCTTCTCGAGAAACTGCAACCTTTAATGGTTTGAATTATTTTAAGATATATATGTCCTTACACTGTAGTCGTACACATGACGTACTAGACTGAGTCGTAACGGAACCTTGAGTTACCACTCCATTAGCTACTAAAGGGCATAGTACAAATAAGATGAGTGCTGTCACGAAGTGAGAGCATTATCTTTTAGTACTATGTAGTGCTAACTCTATTCGCGAGGAAGCACGCCCTTTTGTAGCACTTTCTAGTATGTGGTAATCTATCTCTATTTATTTATGGTGGCTAGCTATGCTATGGTGCCTGAGAGACGGTACATCTTTCAAAATTTTAAAAACTCTTTCGTTTCTCATGCTTGGCAAAATAAACTTAGTTTATTTGCTTTATCTCATAAGAGATTCTTGTCATGTCTCAATGCATGCATTGCACAAGAACATGCATTCAGTTTGTTGTCATTGCTTTTAATTTCAATCTTATACTCCCTTCTTTTTACAGACCAAGGGAGGCGGGTGGGTTAAAAAAACCCTTCCGGTCGAACTTCGGCCCACCCAGCCCATCCCGGGGGTATAACTCTGAGGGTCA